ACATATAAACACTCACATATAAACACTCACATATAAACACTCACATATAAACACTCACATATAAACACTCACATATAAACACTCACATATAAACACACATATAAACACACACATATAAACACACACATATAACCACACACAAATAACCACACACATATAACCACACACATATAACCACACACATATAAAAACACACACACACACACATATAAAAACACACACACACACACACACACACACACACACACACACACACACACACACACACACACACACACACACACACACACACACACACACACACACACACACACACACACACACATATGTAGGCATATATGAATACACATAGGCATGTATGTATACATATTTACATCCATATAAATATAGAAACACATACACAATTTTACACATTTATATAAACATTTATGTGATTGTTTACATTCTTGGACAACAGCTTGAATGGAATGGAGCAAACCTCAGTATAAACATTAGTTCACCATGTATGGAGCTATATTTATGTTCATGAATGTTGTTTCAGTGTTTTTGTATAGATATATTTGTGGGATAACCAAATATAACAACATTGGTCATAAATAATGTAGTATGTATGTGAGTAGTTGGGGGGGGGAGGTTGTGCCCAAGGGTAATGGGGTATTTGAGGTGAGGACTGGTCTGTGACATTTCTGTGTCATAAATGTTATGGTATATTATGAAAAGAGTGATGAGGGGGTGGTGTATGATGTTAGCAGAAACGGAGTATGATCATATTCATAGTTATGCACAAGCACACTCACTCATCTGGTAATAAGCAAAAGTATATTCAACTAGTGTTTGTTGGTTATTAGTCTCAGCATAAGGCAAAGCAACTGCATGATTAGGAAAGGGGAGAATTCTTTGGCTTAGAGTGCACACATCTAGACAGTTGAAGGAGATGCTTAATCCTCCACACAGTCACTTTGTTAACCAAACATTAAGTAGTGGTTAAAAATCAAATTTTCTCGGTATGAGTTTTCATTTTTGTTTTTCAGTGCTTGTCTGGCCTGAAATGTCTTCAGTAAAAGAAAAAAGAAAAAAAAAAATCAATCAATCTGAACATTTGGTAACATATTTAGTACTGCAATTCAAGTTGGAATAGAATTTCTTACACATGTTCTTACTGGCTATACTCTGTTAGCCACAGGCACACCCTACACCCCAGCTGCCCACATAATCTACAACCTGCCTATACATATTACATTATTCTTAACCAGCGTTTGTGTATTTAGTATCTCAATGTTATATGTTAGACATTATCAGCATTCATGAATAAAAGTGAAAATCCATATATGATTAACTACTTATAATAAGGTTTGTTGCAATGCATTCAAGCTGTATTATAAGAAAATTTAAGTAATCACAGTATTGCCCTTTCTACTGTCCACTGAAAGAGAGTGTACCAGGTATAAGTGCTGGCATCTGTATATATAAGCTAAAATGTACACATACAGAAACACATACATACCATACAATACCCATACCCATACCCATGCCTATGTCTATGTCTATACTTATACCTATACCTATATATTTATCTGTATCAATACACATACCTGTACAAATACAAATAGAAATACACACATGCACAAATATATACAAATGCATGCACAAATACATACATACATATATACATTCGCATATACTTTTGAGCATGCCTGCATACATACATACATGCATATAAAAATCCCTTACCTCTTGATGTATTTCAATACCCTGTATTAGTTCAAATGTGGAAGTGTGTTGGCTACTTTTGCTATGATCCATAGAGACATTCCTGTTAAGAAGAGGGATTTGAGAACTACTAGTTTTTGCATCTGAAATAAACTCTTTATTTTTCTGTCATTGGGTATCTGATTATAGGATTTTTGAACAACAATTGTTGTAAAAAAATGCATTCTTTGACAAGAAATTCCCATTTGATCAGAGATTTGCCCAGTGATTATAGTTGCTACCGTTTTTAGTGTACTGTACAAGCTTGATTTTGCTAGTTGATATTTGGCTTCTAAGCAAAATAAAGTAGAGACAGTGTCTACGATATTGTAAAAGATGTAGAGAATATTTGGAGCTTTAAGACAAGGATGTGATTTGTCTCTCTAAGTGCATTTTTGCTTAGGAATTTGATGTTATAGTTGAACATGGAATTTGTCTTTGATATATGATGGAGAGTACTTCATGACTGTTATTGTTTCAGTAATGTCTAAAACTGCTTAAGAAGTTTGAGAAATTCCGGTTTTATTTTTAACGACACATTAAAATCTGTAAGGGTAAATGTTAGTAGAGATTGTATAGATAGAATCAGAATGCATTTTATTTGGCATATATATTTAATGTTAACATTTGGAATGCACTGAGAGCAACAGAGGTCTATTCTCATAGGTAAGACTGTAGGGAAAAGGAAACAAAGGTTTACACATCTTGGCATTTTGATATATTATTCCAAGGAGCTTGTGATTGCAATGATTGTGAGAATGTTTGTGTTAGTATGTATGTATTTGTCTGTCAGTTACTTTGTTATTCTTTTGAGGCATGTCAAGAGGATGCATGTGTGTAACTGTGTGAGAATGTATGCACTATTGATAACTTTGCAAACTCATTTTCTGTCATGATTTAGTTGTACTGACAAGAATGATTTTTCAGGTTGTTACACTTTAGTTTATTTTCTTGAAACATGTGATTGATGCACATTGCCCTTGTTAATTATAATTATATGCATGATATGGAGGATCAGAAATAAAGTTTGGAAGGACTAATAGATTTTACAAATATTTTTGTAGTATAGTTTATGTATTGTGTAGGTAAAGCTGAAGTTAAAACATTTGATTTTGAGAGGTAATGTTTTTTTCTGTTTGATATAAAAAAGAAAAATGTAGTAATTTGATCAGTGCTCACTGTCAAAATC